TAAGTTTACTCGTGAACAAAAACAGAAGTGGCCTACCTCTGAGAAAACTAACCATCATTTTTTCCCTACTTCAGCTAAAGAAAAGCAGCACTTCCTCAGGAGGATAGAAGTAAAGACCAAGACCACAAATAAAAAATCCACACTAGATAGGAATTTTGTAAAAACAACCGATGCTAGGACAGGATCTTCATTCCCTGCATTTACTTCCTCGTTTCCATCGAATAAAAAGAACGTTAGACATACATATCCAAAGCATCATAACTGTCAATGTTTAACTCTTTTACAAAACCTGAGGAATCACATGTTGACACATCACTACATATTCTCCAAACATGTCTATTGCTATAAAATTAACATCAATAAAAACGTGAAAAAGCCCAAGTATAAGGGCAAGGGAAATGCAAATCAACCCAAGCCTGCAAAGGCTAAGGAAAATGACAAGAGAGAAGTATCCAACACTAACAAACGAGGACCCATTATGAAATGGGTACCTAAATCCCCTTAATTTGTCTTGCACGACCAACATGTGCAACCATGGTACATGGATTCAGGTTGCTCCAGGCACATGACTGGTATTAAAAGTCAGCTGTCCTTCTTCAACAAAAAATCTGGAGGCTTTATAACTTTTGGAGACAACAGCAAGGGTACAATCAAGGGATATGGCACTCTCATCAAAGGAAACATCTCCATCAACAAAATGGCTTATGTTGAAGGTTTAAAGCACAACTTACTAAGCATAAGTCAGTTCTATGACAAGGGTCTTGAAGTCAGATTCTGCAAGGATTTTTGCATCATAGAAACAAAGCCCGGTCAAACAATCATCAAGGCAAAGGGAAAAGGAAATCTCTATCTTCTAGATTTTGAATCCTCTATGGGACAAGACACCCTCTGTCTTGTGTCTCATAAGAGCGATGAAAATTGGCTATGGCATCAAAAGTTCTCACATCTCAACTTTGATGCACTACGAAAACTAGCCACACAGAAGCTGGTCAAGGGAATTTCGGATCTTAAATTTGAAAAAGATCATCTATGCTCAGCCTGTGAGATGTGAAAACTAAGACGGGCCTCACATAAAACCAAGTCAGAAACCTCGTGCACCAAGCCCTTGGACATGGTATATATAGATCTCTATGGGCCAATATCAACTCAAAGTCTCTCTAGAAAGAAGTACATGTTAGAACTGGTTGATGAATACTCCATATACACCTGGGTTGAATTTGTAAAGAAAAAATCAGATGTTCCTGACCTACTCATTGGAGTGATGAAAAGGCTCCAAGTCCTTCTACAACGAAAACTAATAAAGGTTAGAAGTGACAACAGAACTAAATTCAAAAATGCCAGAATCGATGAATACCTCATCAGTGAAGGCATTACACAAAACTTCTCAGCAGCTAGAACTCCACAACAGAATGTAGTGGTGGAGCGAAGGAATAGAATCCTCGTGGAAGCAGCAAGGACCATGCTTGCTTCATCGGAGTTACCAATCACATTCTGGGCTGATGCTATTTCCACTGCCTGCTTCACCCARAACCGATCTATCATCAACAAGAGGCACCARMAGAMACYCTATGAGCTCATCAACYAAAGAAGACCAAATGTCAAATATTTYCATGTCTTTGGGTGCAAATGCTTTRTACTCAACGATAGGGAATATCTTGGCAAGTTCGACAAGAAAGCTGATGAAGGGATCTTTTTGGGCTATTCTCAAACTGCCAAGGCCTACAGAGTCTACATCAAAAGGACAAGAATTATCATCGAAAGCATCAATGTGTGTTTTGATGATTCCACACCCATGACTTCTGAACACAAAAGTTCAGGACTCGGACTACAACAGAGAGCCTCTGATTCATCACTTGGAAAACCCAATGAATCAGAATTAGCTCATTTATTTGAAGATATCTTCGAAGAAGAAGTCATCTCTAGACATGCACCACTTACTAAACTTTCTTCTAGAGCCGATGAAGAACATGAAAACTCCAATGCTAAAGGTACAACTCTCACTGAAACTCATGTTACTTCACCTTCTACTTCTTCTGTGTGTTCAGACCATGAACCAGAACCAGAGCACCACTCTGGAGATGATCTCTTTGAGGGGGAGCAAGCAGTCCCATCAGTCAATGAAGAATTGCATCCTGTTGCTCCAAATCCCAATCAAGCACCAAATGAACAAAAGATCACCCACACCACAAAATCATTGGTGATCCAACATCTGGTGTCAAGACGAGATCTGCCACTGCCAATGAATGCCTCTTCGCCAACTTTCTGAGCATGATAGAACCAAAGAAAATTTAAGAAGCCCTACAAGACCCAAACTGGATAGACGTGATGCAAGAAGAATTACTCCAGTTTGAAATAAACAAAGTATGGTCCCTTATGCCTCTACCCAAAGGGAAGACGACCATAGGAACCAAATGGGTCTTTCGAAACAAGAAGGACGAATATGGCATAGTCATAAGGAACAAAGCCAGGCTTCTTGCCAAGGGCTACTGCCAGGAAGAAGGGATGGACTACGATGAGACATTTGCTCCTGTCGCAAGACTTGAGGCCATTCGGATATTCCTAGCCTATGCAGCTCACAAAGGCTTCAAGGTTTATTAGATGGATGTCAAGTCCGCCTTCCTAAAGGAAAACTTCAAGAAAAAGTATACGTGCAACAGCCCCCTGGGTTTGAAGATCCAAAACATCAAGATTATGTCTACTTTCCGAACAAAGCTCTCTATGGGCTTGTTGGGTTTGAGTAAGAGCTTTATTGTTGTATTCAAGTTTCTTCTTAGTTTACTTGCTTTGTAATAGTGTAGCTTTACTATTTCCTTAGTATAAATAGTATTTTCCTTGTAATTGTCATTACCAAGTGATTAGCAGATTGTAATCAAGATTAGAGCTGTAATTATCTCTCTCTCTCAATCAAATCAGTAACATTTGATGATCTATTCTTTCTACTATTACATTCATCTTGTTCTTGAAGATTTTATCATTTTTGTATGAATCTTGGACTTCACAATTGGTATCAGAGCAGACTGCAACAGTTTCGGTTAGAGGATTAAACATTTTTGCACATTTTTGCACGAATTTTTTAAGATTGATCGATCTGGGTTTTTGATGTTCATCACTGTTCATGTTAATCCCAGATCTCTCAATAACACTAATAATCTAGTTATAAATAACCAAATTATAGTGATTTTACGAAGAAAGTTATGAAGTCTCAAAGATAAAATAAGAACATTCAAGAACGACTTTGAGCTTCAAAGGTTTTACTTTATAAATAATGAAACTTAAAACAAAGAGTAAAAACCTTTCTCACGTATAAACATATGCTTATTTTATAATAGACCTAGTCGTCTATTTATACTAGATGGCTAATGCTAAGGTAACTATCTATTGCTCCTTTCTAGCAAATAGTCTAGTTAACAGATAAGGTTTCTCTTTTAAATGGATAATCATTATAAACAAGATAAACTATAATTCCAGCTGTTGATTCGTCATCTCCAGCTGTTGATTCGTCATCTCCAGCTGTCATTATCTATGTGGTGATTTCATCCTTATCTTCAAGTCTTCATTGCACGCTTGGATGAATACTTAGAAAATCTTCTATGTGTTAGTCTGTCCATCGTATCAATGAGAATATTTTCCATCGCATCATTCATCGGTCCGCTGGTTGAACTTCGTCCATCAGTCCGATGGTTGGTCTTTCCATCGATGCTCTGGATAGTCTGTCCATCGATCAAGACTTAGTCGATTCTGCCTTGATATCTCCATTGGTCTTCTGGTTCTTCATCACTTATTGTTTTTCATTACTTTTTACATTTTGCATTATGGGTTCTAACAATCTCCCCCTAAGTAATGAAATAACAAAG